GAATTTTTTCAAGAATAAAACTTACTTGGCACGATATTGTCGACATCCAAGGTATGCACTGACAGCAATAAGAGCCACAGTTATAACTGTGGCAGCCACACTCAAAGTGATTATCATTTTTTCTGTCCACCAACAGTTCCAACTTCGTTGCGATGAACTGATTTTATCGCATACTGATGTAAACAATTGTCGTGTGTTTGTTTCGATCTGTTGCGAATAATTCTGGTTACATTTTGCCGCTTTTTCAATTTCACAAGCCATCGCTTGCCAAACGAAGCAGCAAAATTGTTTTGTTTCATAGAACTTTTTGTTTCAAAAAACAAAAACGAAATTTGATTTCATCAATAATTTTTGAGAATCATTCAAATACAACTTACATATCCGTCAATCGTAACTTTCCATTCTCGATGTGATGATTTTTCACATTCATTGAATTGATGGTAAACTGATTCACTACATTGTAATGATTTCGGTAAGCCATAAACCGATTTATATGGATATCGTACCATATCCCAATCGGTTTGATCATTAATACCACGCATTATGAATGATTTATCACCATTGGCCATCCAAACATTATTCAAAGTGACAATAACCCCGATCATCAACAAGTGTAAACATTTTTGTTTGATATGATTATTCATAATAAAAAGCAATTTTTTCATTGTCAAAACACACAGAATATAAAAAAAAATAGTTTGGCTATGGTGAAATTTATATGAAAATTCCAATCATTCTTGTTTTTTTCGCCCCCAAAAAAAATGAATGAATGAAAAACAACAAAACATTTATTCAATTAGAATTTTTTTTCTACAAAAGCAAATTCTTGTAATGTTGTTTTTATCGATATATTTTTTTTGTTACTTCGATTATGAATGAAAGAATGAAAGGAAAAAATTCTCGAAAAGAAAATTTTCAAACAAAATTTTTTTTTTTAGATAATTAGATTCTGTTTTCTGAAATTTTTTTATTTATTTTTTATTGATTTATAAATATTTTGTATTTGTATTATTATTTGGTATTCTTAATATTAAATTTGCTAATTCCGTTAGATTTTTTGTTTTCTTTGTAAAAATGTTTGTTTTTATTGGATTTTGTCCTGTTGTTGATGGCGGATTTGATTTTGCCTGAGAAGCTGATGATGATGATGATTGTTGTGATATAAATCTATTTAAATTTTTGTATGAATTTTTTCTATCATCTTTGTTCATTAATTTCATTTGTTTTTCTAGTAATAATGATCGTTTTCTTATTGTAGCTTTTTGTATTTGTAGTTGTTCTTGTATTTGTTGTTGTAGTATTAGTAATTGTTCTTCTTGTAATTCTTCTGGTTGTAGTCCTGATCTTCCATTTACTTTAGGAATTCCATAGTCACTTGGATCACCAACATGTCGGACTTGTCTAATTTTTTCAGATGGTGTTTGTGGATTCCATTCACTTAATTCAATTGGTTTATCATCAATATGATCGGCATTTGTAGTTGTTGTTGAGGGAATTCTTCTTAAATCTTTTGCTTGACCAATATCTTTAGTTGTTAATTTTTTATTTTTATTTGGTTTGAATGATGATGATGATGGGAAAATTTTCCCAAACCATTTTTTAAATTTGCCTTGTTTTTCAACATTTTTTATTGGTTTATTTGATTGTAATGGTTCAACCCTTATATCTA